GACCAAAGAAGTTGAGTGCACGTGCTTAGCGTCATATCCAGAGGTTGTGTTTGGGAAATAGACGTATGAGTGCTGCCAGCATTGCTGCAGAGGTTGAAGAGGTGGGGGGTAAGCCTGTCAGTGCTCAGACCATACGCCGCACACTGCATCAAATTGGTCTGCATGGCTGTCGTCCCAGAAGGAAGCCTCTTCTAAAGATGATGCACAAGAAAGCCTGCAAACAGTTTGCTGAAGACAAGCAGACTAAGGACATGGATTACTGGAACCATGTCCTGTGGTCTGATGAGACCAAGATAAACTTATTTGGTTCAGATGGTGTCAAGCGTGTGTGGCGGCAACCAGGTGAGGAGTACAAAGACAAGTGTGTCTTGCCTACAGTCAAGCATGGTGGTGGGAGTGTCATGGTCTGGGGCTGCATGAGTGCTGCCGGCACTGGGGAGCTACATTTCATTGAGGGAACCATGAATGCCAACATGTACTGTGACATACTGAAGCAGAGCATGATCCCCTCCCTTCGGAGACTGGGCCGCAGGGCAGTATTCCAACATGATAACGACCCCAAACACACCTCCAAGACAACCACTGCCTTGCTAAAGAAGCTGAGGGTAAAGGTGATGGATTGGCCAAGCATCTGTGGGGCATCCTCAAACGGAATGTGGAGGAGTGCAAGGTCTCTAACATCCACCAGCTCCGTGATGTCGTCATGGAGGAGTGGAAGAGGACTCCAGTGGCAACCTGTGAAGCTCTGGTGAACTCCATGCCCAAGAGGGTTAAGGCAGTGCTGGAAAATAATGGTGGCCACACAAAATATTGACACTTTGGCCCCAATTTGGACATTTTCACTTAGGGGTGTACTCACTTTTGTGGCCAGCGGGGTTTTTTTTGTATCTTTATTGGCACTGGACTTTTAGCTACTTTAACAATGTTTGTGTAAAGGGTGGTTAGTTGAATTTAGCTAAATGCTTGGTAAAGACATGTCACGCATTGTAATTTGGGTGCAAAACATGTTTTTATCACCTCAACACATATTAGTATAGTATTGTGTATTATTAAACAGAATATTCCTATGAGTCATACATCAACAGGAGGGGGAGGGGCACATTTTCAAGAAAGTACTTCATTTATCAAAACAATGCAATATAAACAGATTGAACTGTGTTCCCTTATAGTAATCAAATTGACCCCTGTGCACTTATTGACCCCTTACCCAACCTTAAACCAACCCAAACCACCAAACCTGAGCCTAACCTAAATCACACCTCAACAGCAGCAAACGTGTTGTGCATTAACACAAGCTTTTAACCATTGTATAACATCTGTTAAAATCATTTGTAGATTTTCAAGATGTGCGTGATCATACGATTTAGAAGCTTAATGACATTTGTAAGCATTTTAATTTACACGAAATGTTTAATGTTTAACACATTTATTAGTAAACATTAACGAGCACATTATTTAATGTTTCTCGATAAGTGAATATATGAACTAATAATCCGTTAAGCATTATCTAATGTTTGTTGATGATTTATTATTGAAAGTTATTATAGTGTTTTACCTATATATATATCAACATGTAAGTCACTATAAAGAGAACGAGACACTTTCTAATATATATAATAATAACATACTTTCTCATAATAACGAGATACTTTCCAAGCAACCAACAAAATGTCCAGTCACTAATTTTGGCTGTTAGGAAACTAACTTACACCGAAGAGACTTTATTGCTCAGTGTCTCCACTGCATGGATCCTCGTGTGTAGCTTCAGACGACTTTTAAAAGCGAAACTCTTCCCGCACTGATCACACGTGTGCGGTTTCTCTCCGCCGTGCATCCTCTCATGCGTTTTCAGATTTGATAACTGACTGAATCTCTTGTCGCAGTGTGAACACTTGTAAGGTTTCTCTCCAGTGTGAATCCGCAGGTGCAGTTTTAAATAGCTTGCTAAAGTAAAAGTCTTCCCACACTCAAAGCACACATGTGCTCTCACACCAGTATGTGTTTTCTGATGCGATTTTAAACTTTTTAGCAGTGAAAAACTCTTTCCACACACAGAACATGAATATGGCTTCTCCCCCGTATGAACTGCCAGGTGTTTCTTCAGGGCTCTTAACACGAGAAATGTTTTGCCGCATTGATCACATGCATACGGCTTTTCTCCAGTGTGGATTCTCATGTGAACATCAAGATAGTTTTTTAATGAGAAACTCTTCCCGCACTGATCACACGTGTGCGGCTTCTCTCCGCTGTGGATCTTCTCATGTCTTTTCAGATTTGCTGACTGACTGAAACTCTTCCCGCACTGATCACACGTGTGCGGTTTCTCTCCGCTGTGGATCCTCTCGTGTGTTTTCAGATTTGCTGACTGACTGAATCTCTGGTCACAGTGTGAACACTTGTAAGGTTTCTCTCCAGTGTGGATCCTCTGGTGCTGTTTTAAATGGTTTACCAACGAAAAAGTCTTGTCACACCCAAAGCACACATGATCTCTCACGGTGTTGTGAAATTTCTGATGTAATTTTAAACTTTTCAGCTGTGAAAAACTCTTTCCACATTCAGAACATGAATGCGGCTTCTCCTTCTTCGTATGAACTGCCAGGTGTTTCTTCAGAGCTGATGTCCTAAGAAATGTTTTGCCGCACTGATGACATGCGTGCGGCTTTTCTCCGGTGTGGATCCTCATGTGTTCTTTAAGGTGTGATGATTGAGTGAAACTCTTTCCACATTGATCACACACGTATGGCTTTTCTCCCATGTGGATCCTCATATGGACCCTTAAATATTTTTTGCATGCAAAGCTCTTCCCGCACAGATCACACGCGTGTGTTTTCTCTCTGCTGTGGACCTGCTCATGTGTTTTCAGATGTGCTAACCAACTGAACGTCTTGTCACAGTGTGAACACTGATAAGGTTTCTCTCCAGTGTGGATCCTCTGGTGCAGTTTTAAATGTTTTGCCCAAGTAAAAGACTTCCCACACTCAAAGCACACATGACCTTTTACACCAGTATGTGTTTGCTGATGCGATTTTAAACTCTTTCCACATAAAGAATATGAATGCGGCTTCTCCTTCGTATGAACTGCCAGGTGTTTCTTCAGGTCTGATGACACGAGAAATGTTTTGCCGCATTGATCACTTCTTTCCTTTAAAAAAATATTTGTAGTTTTTGAGCGACTCTCTTCAGGTCTGACATGATGTTTCTCCTCCACTTCACTCTCCTCATTCTCTTCTTTAGGGTCTGAAGTGAAAGAAAAAAGTTGTATTTTCAATAAACCAAAATAAGTCAAAGACAGGAATATGAATTGAAAGGCAGAAAACAGACGACTGTTTAAAAAAATTACAATTATTTTGATGCATTTTTATAAATTATTTGTCCCTGACACTTTGCATGAATGAGACACATTGATCTTCCAATTATTATTTTTTAAAACATTACAGGCTAATTAATCGAATTTCTAAGATGTGATGCCACGATCACATAATCATTCAAAGCCGTGATTACAAAAATAAATAAATAATTAAACATTTTAATTATTTTAGTTCAGTCGTGGGCTCTGTGTCACCTGGGGGCTGTTTCATAAAAGACGCTAAGAAAAGCGGGGATTAAAGTCCAAAACCTGTCTTGAAATAACCTAACAAATCAATCGGGACTAAAACTATTTCATAAACGACAATTCAAGTTCACGCAATCTCACTAATTCGATCCAGGTTCAATGAGTCAAGATAATTAGATTTTATTAGCCCTTAATGTTGATGATGGATCAAATCGATCCACTTTGGCAAACAGCGAATATTTGTGCCGTTTAATGCATTTGAGACGTTGTGTTTTCCTCAGTGCATAACGGACACGTCACAGGTATATTTTCATCTGTAAATGTTAGAAAGTAATGCAAATATATCCATTGTGCTGTCAGGAGTGGGCGAGGCATGCTGCGCGCATGCGCGCTAAACAGACTGAGCAGAATAGAATAATAGCGCAATAATTGAGTAAAATATACATTCTGCTAAAATATTTGTTGTTGGACATTAAATGTGACATGTAGAATTTTAATCCTACATGTAAGTGTATTTTTATGATAGCAGTAACTGTAAATCAAATGTAAGCTGGCTAATACAACCCTAATTATTAGCTCAAATGAATTGAATGTGTATTCCTCTTATCAGTTAAAATGTAGTCTGATTTCATTTTTAATTCAGTGATTTTAACTTTTAATTCAGTGTTTTTAATGTTTTAATGCTTTAAAGAGCAATTTTAGAAAGGCTGCATCGCTAGAAACTGCTGATCAACTGAATGTGCAAGTAGCAACTATGTTAAAATGTTTTCATATATCAAAAAAAAAAAAGTCATTACATTTTGGGCACAATACATTAAATACAGGTTAAATATACATTAAAGGGATCCACCCCAAAATGAAAATTTAGTCATTAATCACTCAATAACACTCATTATTGATAACACTCGTTATTAACATAATCACTCACATAAATCCTCATGTCGTTCCAAACTCGTAAAGCTTCGTTCGTCTTCGGAACACAATTTAAGATATTTTGGATGAAAACCGGGAGGCTGGTGACTGTCCCATAGACTGCCAAGTAACTTACACTGTCAAGCTCCAGAAAAGTATGAAAGACATCGTCAGAATAGTTCATCTGCCGTCAGTGGGTCAACCGTAACGTTATGAAGCGACGAGAATCGGCACCGTAACGTCACCGTAGCGCCATTTTGGTGAGTATCACTGCACGCAAAATGCGTACGCTCTTCGGTGTCCGCTGCGACATAGGGATGCGCTGTTTGCGTTCAAATTAGGGCTGGACAATAATTCAATATCAATATGTATCGCGATATAATTTTTTTCAATAACGGTGATATGATTTTTAAAAACTCAAGCTCCTGTCTAATGTGCATTTCTAAGAGACAAAACTTGTAATATTAGTATTACACATTCAGTGTTACCAAATCAGGTGCTGGTGTCACGGCTCTCGAATGTTAGTCTGGAGCACTGATAATATAAAGTGTACTGTAAAATGTTACTGTAATTTGAAATTCTGTTTAATTGTAAATGAAATATATAGCTTTAGTAAACCATTTTTTTTTTCTTTTAGTTTTGGTATAACATTATTATACCATGCATAATTTTACCTTTTTTATTTAAAGAAGAAACCAAACCAATGTATAGTTGACATTTGAGTCTCAATGCTATAGAAAGGCAATAAAAGTTCAGGAAGAGTGTTTTCATGCCCTTTTTTTATATTTTATATAAAAATATGGCATGCAGCTTCAAACAATGGCATAAATCTGTTCTAAATAATCATTATTAATAATCACAAATACAATATCAAGGGAATAATCGACAATTATGATTTTTGTCATAATCGTGCAGCCCTACCTGAGACAAAAGTGCAAGGTAACTAAAGCCATCACCTTTTGGTGCCGTCAACCCTTTCTGAGGATTGGTGGCCATTTGCGCATGACTGAAAACACAAGCTCAAGTGAATTTCACTGCATTCAAAGTTCAAGTCTGAACAACTCTGACCTGTGGATTCATATCATGTGAAGACGTGTGACCAATAGAAGATCGATACGTCACTGTGTGACCTCTTAGGTGAAAAAAAAAAAAAAAGGCAAACTTTTGCAGTAAAGTGGACTAGATTGTATATTTCTAAATTTTCTAATTTTTATTTTATTTTTTAAAAGACGCAGCAGAGTGTGATGCCATATCACGAGCGTCTCAGTTAGGGCTGCACGATTAGTCGAACATGATTAATCGCGATTGTCATGCACATTTTGTCAGTAAAGCCGGTTCTATGATTAGTAGTAAATCTCCATCACCTGCTTTCAGGTGGAGCAGCGTTTACTACACAGAGCCGTAGTTCTCGGAGAAGCTACGCAAAATCGCATTCATAATCGCAGATGATATAATCGTAAGATTATGAAATTGAAAAAAATCGTTCTGCGATAATGACAGCGGTTTGTGTAGCTTCTCAGTGAACTACGGCTCTGTGAAGTAAATGCTGCTCCATCTGAAACCACGTGGAAAAACCACATTTAATAACACGTTTTCACTCCAAACTCACTTCATAACGTCAGTCGAGTGTTTGAAATAAATCCTTCTGTGAGATGATGTGGCTTCTTACACAGAATGCTATGAAATATTTTGCATGTCTTATTCTAAGCAGTGATAAAGGCTATGTCGATTAGCATTTCATTATATATATGCTTTATTATGATGAAACTCAGATAAACCATATATTGCCGTAGTCGTGTGTTTATTAGTCACGTCGAATCAATGAAAGCAGGTAAATCTTCTGTTTATTCAGCACTTGCTATAGGGATTTCCTGGGTTTCTTCTGCGAGGCATATTTGGAGTTTCCGCGCGAGAGCCAACAATAGCACAGATTAACCCTCCGCACATTTTTATATTTAGTTATATTGAAAAAGTATCAATTCAGTAGATCTTTTTTACCCCGTTTTAACATGGATTTCTATGGAGAGAATGGCGGATAGCAGCGGCAGCGCATAATATCTGCGTTCTGATTGGTCAGCTCGCCTGTCAATCAAGCTCTTTGCGAACTGTTGGCCGTACCGCAGCAGACTCGTCAGTAAACGAGTACAGAACAGCACCTGTTGCTTACTGACTGTTTGGACTTTTAAATATGAACATAGTTCGTCTGTCGCGATTATAAATCATGATTTAAGGAGTATAGTGAGAGTGACTACTAGTTAACGTGTAGTATTAATGGGTCGTGTTTAGTCACTATTTATGACAACAGAAAATATGTAAACGAAAACAGCTTTATATGGCATTCAGTTATAATAAAGTATGTGACAGTTTAGAGAGTAGAACAGATCTGAAGTGCCAAAACTCGTCTGAACGCGAACCCAATGCAAGACGTCATAAATATGCTAATTAGTATGTGACGTCACTTGCCGCCACAAGTCTCTCAAAATGCATAGTTTAAATATTCATCTAGATCTGATGAAGTGCTTGAAGCTTTGTAACATGAATGTTCTTCAGCATCATGAATGAATGAAGAGTCAAGAACAAACACCAACCTTTTAGTTCTTCAGTGTGTTTGATTCTGCAGGGCTCTGGGTCTCTCATCTTCTCTCCGTCCTCTTTAATAAACCCAGATTCCAGCTCTTCCTGATGCTCTGATGCTCGTCTGCACTTCTGAACTGATGGAGATATTCCAGCATTTATTGCTGAAATCACTGTCGGTGTGATCGATATGGGAGGAGCTTCACTGAACATGAATTTGATGTGGAAGCAGCAGATCTGCAAAAATCAACAATAAATCTGAGTCTGTGTGTTTTTTTTATTAATTTACATATTTAAGCATTTATGAAAGTGAAGCAGATGCCCTCCAACTTAAGCGCCTAAGTGTTGTCTCTCAGCAAATCATTATATTACTATAGTAAACTTTACAGCATTGACTCAAAGAGCACATCAGTTTAACATGTGCTCATTCAGTATCGATCCATATTTTTCCCTTCTGCCCCCGTATTAGGGCTGCACAATTAGTCGAATTTCTAATCGCGATTATGATGATGGATGCCACGATTACGTAATCGCTCAAAGCCGCGATTACACAAATAAATGTCCATTTCGTTATTCTGTGTGCTTAAGGAGTGTGTTTGCAGAGTGGGATTTAACAAACTCAAAAACGCTGGATAAGACACATCTTGTCTAACTGATAGTCGTAGTCGTTCTGTTGTGCATGACCAATAGTAGTGCTGTGTTCGATACGACGATGTAGCGTCACAGAGATCTGACGATACGAGTATCGCTGCAGCTGGCCCTGTATCGCTATTGTGGTACGTGTGCAGCAGTGGACCACGCTTAATTTGAATACAAGAACAACGCTTAAAACGGAGTAGAAAAGTGCAAGGTTTCTAAAAAATAATGAATAGAGCATAATATATAGGCTACAGCAAACCACCGTTTTGCCGCGTTTCTCTATTAACAGTGAAGCTGTGGCTTTAATTGCTGTAGAAACAATGATGTTACCAGCTCCTAGTTGAGAAAGATAATGTACCTCTTCAGCGATTAAGCTATTTAGTTGATAAAATTGCGGGGCAGCGCTAAAAAGTTTGTTCCTGAATGTCTGTGCGCGCGCGCAACGTGATCTGTGTGAGTGACTAAAATTGTGTGAGCGTGAGATACAGTGAAGACAGCGCATTAGTTTAGAACTCTTCTAATTTTTATTTTTTTAAATGTAGAAATTGTGTTAATTTATATTTTAGTATGAGTACATTACAATATACATTTATTAGAACGAGTACATTATTATTTATGGGCTTAAAAACAAGATGCAAACAATCAGAATATTGTACCTGAGGTGAAATTCAGTGCAGTCCCATATCGTGGCGTGTATCGTATCGTGGCATCTGTCTCGTGATATGTATCGTATCGTGGCCTATGTACAGTGATGCGTACTGTATCGTGATACGTATCGTGACATCTGTATCGTATCATGGTGCGTATCGTATCGTGGCCTCTGTCTCGTGATATGTATCGTATCGTGGCCTATGTACAGTGATACGTACTGTATCGGGATACGTATCGTGACATCTGTATCGTATCATGGTGTGTATCGTATCGTGACATCTGTATCGTGATACGTATTGTATCGTGACATCTGTATCGTGATACGTATTGTGGCCTCTGTATCATGGTGCGTATCGTATCGTGGCCTCTGTCTCGTGATATGTATCGTATCGTGGCCTATGTACAGTGATACGTACTGTAATGTCTGTGCGCGCGCGCAACGTGATCTGTGTGTGCGTTAGATACAGAAGACAGCGTACTAGTTTAGAACTCTTCTCATTCTTATTTTTTAGAAATGTAGAGAGAGTGTTAATTTGTGCAACGATAACCTACCAGCAATGTAAATATAATTTTTTAATATATTAGAATGAGTACATTACAATATACATTTATTAGAACGAGTGCATTATTATTTATGGGCTTAAAAACAAGATGCAAAAAATCTGAATATTGTACCTGATGGGGAGTGCCCAATGTAAACATGAAACATATGCCATTACCTATATTGTACTGTGGTACAGTTATGGAGGCCCTT